TGAGTACACCCAACAAACCTTCCTCCGCCAATTTTTCTGCAATGGTTAAGAGATCGAAAGGTTTCAGCTAAGATGGTCGGTGCTGGGTTGACTCACTTCGGAAGTTGTTCAAACAACTCTACTACAGCAGCATCAATGTAACCCAAAGTCTTCGGGAATATAATCAGACCATACAGACCCAGTGCAAACAGGCCTATTGCCTTCCACTCATCGGGATGGTTCTTCATCAGTTTCTTGATATGAAGCTAAGCAATTCCTTCCCCACTGTCTTGACATTGAGCCCGGTCAGTTACCTATTTTTCGTCAACCCCAGCAACCTTGGTTAGTGCATTCTTGAAAGGCTAGATTTTGATGTGTTTAAGGTAGGCCCTCTCTAGTCTGATACTTTCACAGTGTAACAGTGTAGTGTACTCTTAAATAGTGGGCACCATGTCCTCATGATTAAAAGTAAAGCAACTGTATCTCGGGTTCCAGAATTGAACCAATGCTCTGATTAAGGGCTCATCAGTCTTGACATGAAGCAAAAGTGCAATGCCACCGTACCGTTGGCTAAACTTCTGTTTCTGATCATTCTTCCAACTGTCGTAGATGTCTTGAAGCTCTTGTACGTATTTCTATTTTAGGCTGATAGAGGCATAGTTGACCAGCTCTGACACATAGCTTCCTTGAAGACTGACTCCCTTTTCCTTCTGAGTCTTCTCGAACCATAGTCATACCTCAGGGTTTTTAATCTCTTGTATCACAACACCTTTGTCCATTAGATCAGATTATTTTGTGTGTAACAAATGCTTTTTTAGGGATCAATGGCCTCTTGTTATGATGCAAATACTAAAAAAAACACAAGTAAAAAGTTAGTAAAATAAAAATAAATAAATAAATAAATATAAAATGACAAAAGGGAAAAAAACATGGTTAGGGTAAAAATATCCTAGGTTTTGGAATGTGGTTTCGGGGCAGCCTCTAAATCTCCATAGTCTTCCAGTTTAGGTTCTAAAAAACGGTACCCGAGTTCTCCTTGCCGGCGCCCCCTTGGGCTTACCAGACCCTTAGTCATAAACCCATCACAGGCTTGTGTGGACTAAGTTAAACTCGAGAGGACACATTCCCTTATGTCTATGCGGAGAAAAAATTCACACGAAGACATAAGGTATATGAGTCCTGAAGGCTACTTGCTAGACCTATGCGGTGAATACATTCACACGAAGGCGTCGCTTTCACCCCCACTTAAAAATGGGTTCGGAGCTCGGGTTTAGAGCCTTAAGTGAAAAACAAGCTTTGAAGGCTGAAATCATTAGAAAATGATTAGTACAACTATTTAATCGAAAATATAATCAAAAGTAAGTAAAAAAGATCGAAATGTTACCTTAAAATTTAAACTTACCCTTTTCGTTAAAAAGACAACTGGAAATTACCTTAGCCTGACTCGCTTACCTGTCCCCAGCAGAGTCGCCAAGCTGTCGGAACCGTCTTTCGGTTGGGCCCGAAGTTGGGTTTTGACTTAGGAAAATTGGGTTAGAGTCACCACCGATCATTTATTTAAAATTAAATGGGTTGACCGGGTACCTTATTTCTTATCTTATCTGCATCTTACCATTGATATATCGGATTCGAGAGTCAGTTACAGTCAAGGAAGGGTTAGCACCCTTGAACTGCCCTTTCGGTACTACGTAATTTCCAGTTGTCTTTAATTAAGAAAGTTGTAATTTTAAATTGAAAGGTAAAATAACGATATGAGACTTACCACTTATTGATTTAAACACCCCTAAAAAAAGTAATGACATAAAAAAGACGAAAATGAGTAAGGTAAAAAGAATAAAATAAATGAAATAAGAATGAAGATAAAATAGAAAATAAAAAAAACTAAATAAGCAAAATAACAAGAAGTAAAATAAGTAAATAAATGAAACAAGGAAGCTAAAGGTAACATATACATAAAGACAATGTTATATAAAGAATAAATAATAAAAAAGACCAAAATAAAAAATGGATAAATAAAGGAAATAAATATGATTAAAAATGAAATGTAAAAAAAAAGAAAAGATAAATAAATAACTAAAAAATGAAAGTAATAATAGCTAAAGAATAAAAAACAAATAAATATGTATAATAATCAAATAAAATAATAAGTAAAAATATATATAATAAAAATATACATGAGAAAAATATAATACAATAAAATACATGAAAAAATATAGCTAAATACATATAATGAGAAATAATAAAAAATATAATATAAATGGATAAAAGACAAAAATAGAGAAATATAGTAATAATAGAAAAAATATATTAAATAATAATAATGATAGATATAGTATAAATATATATATATAGAGTAATAATAAAATGAAAATATGTATATATATACAAAATAAGATAAAATAATAATATAATTATAATAAAAATAAAAATAAATAGAAATAACCAAAATAAAAAGGTAAAAATAAGCGTAACGGGTTAAATTGGAATGAAAATCAAAGTTGAGGGTCAAATCTAGGAGAAAATTAGCGTTACAACTGTGGATTAGGGGGTAAAACGAAAATTGTAAAAATAAGAGGGACCAAAAATGGGGTTAACCCATTAAATCTTGAAAACTCGCGGGTCAAGGGGGTCAATTGGGTTTACGCGCGGATCTAACTCGGGTTAATGGGCCGCGTATATAAGCCATTTTATTTTCTTAATTTTTTATTTCTCTCATTTGAAAACCAAATGCCCTCCCTATTTTCGTTTTCTCTCTCGGTGTTCTTCAAAAATGAAGAACACCAGCCCTGATTTCCAGAAAATGGCCATCGATCGCCCCCACGCCGCCTCGCTGTCGCAAATCAACGGCGGTAAAAAATGTTTTTTTTTTTCGTTTTTCAAAAGCTTTTCTTCTCCTCTCTACGAAAACCAACATATTTTCTTGAAAAAATAGGCCTCGGGGGTAGATCTAGCTTCGAAGTTTTGAAAAACTCCACCCCCCAAAGTCATCGGCCAAAGGTTTTTTTTAGGTTATAGTCGAACCAAATCTCAAGTAAAAGAAAGGAAAGCAACATGCATGGCGACGAACGAACAAACAAAGTAAAGAAAAACTACCATTTATTTCCTTCCAAAAATGGTAAAAAAATGCTTCGAACTATTGCTAGTATTTTTGTGTCTATTTGTGCATAATCTCTCTAGTAAAAATTGTGTGTGTACAAATGTGTTGGTTACAAGCTTATTTATAGTTTACAAAAGCTATTTTTAGTCCCAGATTGTCGGTGTTTTACTTGGACTTAAACGCTTGCTGTTTGTTGTTATTGGGTGTTCCACGTTGTTGCGTCCGTGGGTTGTTGCTGGGGGCGAGGAATTCGGCAGAAGACTCGGGTTGTTGGAGATGAGACGTGCGGCTGTGGGAGAGGCGCACGGGATGAGGAGTCCTCGGGTATGCGGTGCTGTACGAGTGATGAAGGTTAGGGTTTTAGAAACCCTAACCTACTTGGGTTCTTGGATACTGGGTTGGGCCTTGTTGGGCCACGTGTAACGGTCCCAATCCTGTAAAAACAGAACATGAATTAGTACGTGTATTTATAATCATGTATTTATAATATAATACATATACATTGTATACTATAAATAATATCACATTAACACACACATGTCATGCACAAAGGAAAAAATGTATGTTATGCAACGTAAAATAATGCTAATCCATGGGACAAAATTTGGTGTCTTCAGTAACATATAAAACATTTCTCATTAAATTCCATTAAATCTAACCTAAGGACTAATAACCATGTAAGCTTCAATATTTTCATGTTTTACAATTTGGTCCTTCATTTACTAATTACATGGTAAAATCAAGGGTGAATCACAATTTGATCCATCCGTATTTCTTTTTCCCCTTTACTTCCTTATATCACATCTTTTTCCTTTTATTGTTTATTTTTTAATAACTTTATCTTTATGACAGATTTTTTATAGGTCTTTTGGTACATTTTTCTCTTCTTTATCGATCATTTGACCGTTTCTTTTTGTTTATAATTTTTTTTACGATTATATTTGCTGTCGTTTTGATTCACCAAGATGAAGCTTATTCGTTATCCGGTTGATCTTTCTGCTTTGAACCCTCAAATTGAATTTGGAGATGCTGTTCATATTTGTGGACAATTTTCTTACGTCACTAAGCTCTTATTTGCAGTTTGTCTGTAATTTTTTAATAATTTGATCCCTTGTAGTTCATTTGTCGATACAGTTATATCAAGTGACTAATTTCTTGTGTCAATAATTTTAAGAAAATGTTCTAATTACATGTCTAGTTTAGGGTTATGGTTGTAATCCTTTAGTAATTTTAAATTTTCAAAGCTAGTATTTTTTGTAAAGAAATATTTATTTTTGGTGGAATTAATTCGGCCCATGCAATTTTTCAATATTATATTATCAATATAACATTCAACAAATTATGGATATCAAAATTTATTATATTAAAAATAAAAAAAATATTTTATATACAAGTAATATTAAAAAATATTCAATATATAATTATAGATAAATTAATAAAATAGTTATATTTTGATTCACTGATTTTAAATAAATTTTTAATGATTTTATAAACCAATTATATAAAGGAGTGGAAAGATAAAAAAAACTCTATTAATAATATTAATTATTATTTAAAATATTTTTATTAGTTTCCAACTGTATTAATATTTATTTAATTTGTGATATAAATCAATCAGAAATTTTATAATAAATTAGAATTTTGAACGCATAAATGCGTGGTACTTATATTTGTAAGGGAACTTGTGAATTGTAAAATAATATCATGAGACATGCAAGTCGAGTTGTTATTGGTTTGCGTGTAAAAACTTTAGATAATTTTCAATTATTTTATTTAAATATTTATAAAAATATAAAAAGCAACACCATTATTATAATATCTACCATATATTGTAAATAAAATTATTTTAATTTATTTATTAATTGAATTTATGTCATAATTATAATAATTAATAAACTTTAATTAGATGGGCAAAAGTCCATCATTTTAGATGTCGAAGCCGAAATTCATAACAAAGTTTTCCCTTGTGTTGCGTTTATGCGACGGCTTCGTTGCCAAGTTCTTCTTTGAGTTCATAATATCCCATATCTGTAAGAACTTTTTTACACCCAGGGAGAGCTTCCTTCTTCTTGAACCCAAGGTTGTTGGGGTACCGAAGCTCGCCGCTGATGCCGTCGCGTGCGGTGAGGACAACCCTAGCTTTCCTCCAGCTTTCCGTCGGTTCGCTGCAGTCGTCCCTGGGGCTCCTTATCAGGTTGATATCGCAGTCGGAATCCTCGTAGTCACCCGTCACTTCGATTCTGTACTCTCCAGATGGATTCGTCGCTATTTCGTTGCTCTGATAGGTAGTTGCTTCGGTGGTACGATTCTTGCATTCCAGTTTCACAACCGCACCTGTCAATTATAATGTACCAAAAACACCCTTTTTAGTATCATTTGAAGTATAAAAAATATGTAGTGGTTTGATCATGTACCATTGATGGGTTCGCTGAGTTTGGTCTCGAATTCGACGCGGCAAGTGTCGCAGTAAACTCGGCCTACGATGATGTACTTGTTTTGTTTAGAAGGGCCTGCAGCGGAGGCGAAAGTGGGGGAGGACGAAATGCAAATGAAAAAGAAAAGGAATGTGATTACACAAGCTTTAGCCATTTCTGTTCTTCTTTGCTCATATCAATGCTTGACAAAAAAAGGGTAAATTTATAAGAAGGGGTTTACTTATTTTGGACCATGGTTGTTATTCAAGTTTTCTATTCTGTTGGAGAAGAAGGAGACTCCTTCATCCTTGTTTATTGTTGGGACTATACCAAGTAAAACAACTGATTATCTATAAAAAGAAATATGTATGCATAATATTATATCTATAGATTAAGCAAAAATAATAATAATTAATAATATTTTCATACTGAAAATATTATTTCCATTTATTTTTATCCCAATGAATAAGTGATTGAAGTTATGAAATATTGATATAACTAAAATTAGTAGTAGAATAAGCGAAGTTTGCAAGTAGCTTCAATAATTGCCATTATGTCCTCACGTGATTAGGGTTTCATTGTTTTCAAAGTTCAACCAACCAACCTTTAACTATGTTAAAATTGTTGGAAAGTATTTCAGAACAATGCCATATTTTTTTCGTTTAAGCATTTTGTCCTTCCACTTTTGTACCAATAGATATTTGTGGCGTCAATTAAGTTTGATTCTGACAAATTACATGGACATACTAAAAATTATATTAAGAGGTAACGATTTTTCAAAAAGGGTAAGACTCTTGAGATCCCATATCCGTAGACATTCTCTTGGAGCTTTAACTACGAAGGAGATCTCTCAAGGTTTTTTTTGTGACTGTGGAAGAGGTACAACAAAAACTTTTGTGTTCATTTCAATCATCGAAAACATAATTCTCTCGTATTTCCTCTAAAGAATTCTTTCAATTTTTTACTTTTTTCAAGTTTAGAGGAGAACAATATTAATGGTTTCACTTTAGATTTTGGGTGTACAAAATTATGAAAGACCGTGTTAACCTCATGAGACAACGATCATCTTAAAGATTACACTAATTAATACAGTTTTCCTTCAAACAATGATTCTTCCATGACAGTCAAAATTCAACTTATTTATGTTAATTTATTTCCGATAGTGTTAACATTTCATTTTATAATAGTATTATTCCCAACAATCTTACCTCAAGATAAGAGTCAATCCTCATCTATATAGTCTATATAGTCGATAAGATGTTTCTTATTAATATTCTTATTAAAAAAAGTTAGAATTTCAATGAAAGATCACATGCTTATGTGTAACACCTTAGATCGGTACGACACATAGTCACCCGATTCGGATGCCACACAGAACCACCGAAGTAGCTAACCAACTCTAAACTTATTTTTTTCATGCTTTAAAACGACCATTATAACTAACCATAAAAGAAATTGGATTATAATAAAAATCTTTTCACTGAGGAGCTCCAAAATAAAACATTTACTCTTAAAAAAATATTACATACCAACTTGATTGAATCTATGACTCAATTGGACAACAATGTTTACAAATATACAAGCCCAATAAAAACGCTGAGACGTACATCTAATATGCACTGGATTGGTCTGGACCTTGGTTTGTCTACTGCTTCCCAATTGCTTGATCAACTAACTACCCACGGAAACATCCGAAGACTGAGATAACTAGCTCAGCGCCACACTGATGATAAGAACATACTATATGTAATTCACTGAAAGACTTAAACATTCAAGTCTACTTCTTTATATTCAAGTATACTCACTCTTTACTTGTAACCCCCTCAGACCGATGTGGGTGGTCTGATCTGGGGTGTCACATTAGGGCCACCGGAGAGACCCACCGTAAAAATCTCGGAAAAAATAAAATTTTTGTTAAAACATGTAAAATCATAAAATCAATTTATAAATACAAAAGTAAAATTTATCAGTATTCAAAAATAAAACATACTTTCAGACTCGTATATATAACAAAATACAACCTACATGCCCCCTAATCACATGCACCGTACTCCGTAAGCAACGCCAGAGGAACTCCTTTATTAATGTCGGTAGCAACACATGTTTGATACTTTTAACCTGAAATAGTAAGTCAAAGAGTGAGCTTTGGGAAGCACAATAATACAACACTACCAATTGATGTTATATGACATGCAGATAATTGGAAAGCCATAAAATTTCCTTATTTAAATAAACATATACATGTTTTTGGGATAAGCTGGAGTTCCACTGGTAGTTTATCAAGTAGAAGCCATGAAGATCTCAGTTTATAGGAAACATTCATAATATCAAATTTTTAGGAGATCGAATAGGATGTCTAGTGTGTTCTAACCAAAACTAGTGAAAAAATATAAATCTTTTTAAAACAATAATTGTTTACAACATATTTTCAAAACCATAGTAGAACCCTCCAACTGAACACCGTTATGCAGTTCCCCAGAACTGTATCCATAAGGGTTTACCCTAAGCACACAGCAAAAAGAGTCAACCTAAGGGAATACTTGGGGCCTATGAGCCTACCCAAGGGTATTTTTAGGTCCATAAGGATTTACCAGCTGGATTAGGGTTGAACGGCCATACTTTAGAATCCTACCCATAAAAAAATCTAGTAGAAATCAATTTTAACCTAAAACCGTAATATCTGAATCGTGATCAAGTAAAATCTCAGAATGTAACAATATAACTGATTTCCACCTATACACCATATGTAGTCCCATCATTAACCCAAGGGAGTGCCTTGGGGCCTGAGAGCCTACCCAATGGTCACCCTAGGTCCATAAGGATTTACCAGCTTGATCAGAGTTGAACCTTCAGTCTACCCAAATAATGTCCCAATTAAAACAGTTCAAGCATACCCAGTGAAAACAGAAAACCGTAGTTCATAAATAAGTGAATTCCATGATTTCATAAATCAAGAACGATCATATTTTTAAGTGAAAACCATAATAAGAAAACACATATCATGTAGCCATGGTTCATAAGCCAGTAAATCAATAATTTTAAGTGAAACATATAAGACAGTCATGTAGTACGTGGGGAACACACTAGATGATCCAAGTATTTTTCTGAAGCACATAATGTTTATTAGGAAAACATAAAACTTATATACTTTGATCGGATTCTAGGAAAGAAGTCTAATTGAAAAGGATCGACTACTAATAGATCTAATTAGACATTTAAAGTTGATACTTTAGAATCTCGCTATAATTTGGTGCATCCTGAAGGTGTTCAGGAACCTTTATATAGAATATTCTAGATTTAGATTTACAAAGAATGATTCCATTACTTAAACAATCAGGGGTATTCAGGATTATATATTGAATTAACAAGATTTTAAGTCCAATTGAACCAAATGGGGTATTCAGGATCTTTTGCATCTGAGTTACTTGTGTGTTTAGATATGACGAGTGATTTGAGTTGATAAGGGAGAAACAAAGATTCAGGACATTTACAATTTGTGTCGATTTATCATATTATCAAAATAACTCAGGCTAAACAACTCATATAACTAATGCATGTCGACTGGTCCATTCGTTGCCATTCCAGGGTATTCACTCTTTAATACCAATAATTATTTTCCATAGATCACCTTCAGAATCATCGTTGAATATATCTTAAGGATATGAACAGATATTCCAATAATCTTTATTTCATTTCCACATTGCAACAATATCAGGAATTGTCGATGTACTTTAATTCATGGTTCATAACCCTTAGGGACGATATATCATGTAAGTTCAACATCATTTCCAGAATTATCCAAATCACTTACTTAATCATCGATCATTGAGGTTATTTAGTTCATTTAGTAGTCAAGTATATCCCGGTCACTTCATAGTTTTCCAGAGTAATTTGGACGTTTCTGAAATTCGGATACATATGGTGCTTCCGTTCAGTTCAATTTGGGTCATATAATAAAGTCATTTTGGTATTCGAGGTTTATTTGTTCATTTTAGAGTTAAGGGTATTAGTTATTCCAGGGCTTAGAGATATTTTAGGCCATTTTACACTTTAGGGGCATTTTGGTCATTTTACATTTCAGGGGTAATTATATAATTCCAATAGAGATCCGGAATTTAATTCAATGATTCCAGAGCTCAAGTGTATCAAGATATGAGTTCTCATGTCGCCTCCATATCATAGTCATCTATTGTGCTTAACACTTTAACCGTATCATCGTCATTTCATTCAAATATGTCAATGGCATACTTTCGATAAATTAGGCTTAAAATTCTAGTTCCTTTAGCGTTCATGGTATTTTATTCCTTTGATCAATGAATGTTATTATAGTTCGCGAACATTTTGGTTATTCTTTTCAAATTAAACATATGCACTATTTCTGATAACAGGTCAAGTATGTCTTTTCTGGGTTATCTTTCACCATAAGGGGAAATATGGGTCTTATACAACATAAATGCATTTTTTTAATTTACCCCATAGGGTTATTTTTGGCAATTGCTTATCCAAATAATTCCGATATTTAACCTTTAAAGTAATTTATCAAAATTTACGGATCTTGAAATCAATTCATTTATTATTGAATCACTGAACTTATAATTATTTTTTATTGACCTTCTAATTTCTCTTAATCGGGTCATCTGATTCTTATACCGTGGTTTTTCCTTAATCCAATTTACGTATGAGTCCAATGATAATTAATTACATCTAATGGATCAATCATTTATATTCATGCAATTACCATCTATCAATGAGTTCCAAAAAGCATACGAAAGGTAGTAGAGTAATACCTCGATTTTTATACCATACCGATCGACCATTTAAACTCTATTCGACTGGCCTCGAACTTTAATTCAATGTCCAATAATTCATCGGATACATAACAAATAATTTTACGTTAGAAATTGAACTTAATTGAGAAACCAATTTGAATCCAAAGATAAATCACTGTAAAACGGCTTACCGGTAAAAGTTTACGGTCAACGGTCAAAGTTAACTGTCAATGTCAACTGTTAAAGTCAATGGGTCAAAGGCAACAAGTTGACTCGGACCGAGTTGACTCGGTGACTGGACCGAACCAGGCGGGTCGGGTCGACCCGATTCTGGAAAATTCTCTGGACCCAAAATAAGCCCCACGCGCAAGTGGCGATGCGTGCGGTGGCGACGGAGGTAAGGGTGTTCGGC